TTGATGTCCATGCACAGACTTGCTTCCGCTCCTTTCTGTGAGATAACGCATATGTGTAGTGAGTGGTTTTGGCCTTTGGCCTGTACCACCCACTACACATATGTATTATGATTATTATATGTATTATTATGATTCTATGACACTTTTTCCTCTGTTTATATGTTTCTGGGAGCAGATGTGTTAGTGAGGGCAGGAGGGAAGATTTCAAAGCGCTCAAGGGGCCTAGGTGAACAATGAAGCTTCAAACATCACTAAGAGCTCTCAGTGTTCCTACACCTCTCTTACATTTTGTGAACCCAAAACCCCATACCTAGCCACTGCTTTGCAATGAGCAGCACTGATTCCCTGCTCCCTCCTGAAAATGCTGTGCAGAATTCCTGGTGTTCCTGACACAGTTAGGGAGGGGGTTGGGGAAACAAGTGACCTGGGTGTGCCCCTGTGGGTGTGTGCTGCCGTGGGAGGGTGCCCAGGACAGGGCCCTGTGCCCACACAGCTCTCTGCCTGCAGCACGATGCACAGATGGACTACTACGGCACCCGCCTGGCCACCTGCTCCTCCGACCGCTCCGTCAAGGTCTTCGACGTGCGCAACGGGGGACAGATCCTCATCGCCGACCTGCGCGGGTAACGCGGGGCTGGCCCGGCCTGCTCTGTCCCTGCCCTCTGGGGGATCCTGGTGTCACTCCCAGCTGAACTGCTCCTCGTGGGGCTGTAATCTGGGGACACTTGCTGTGCTCTGTCCCTCTGCCCTCTGGGGAGCTGCTCCTGGGCTGTGATGGGACAGAGCTCCAGCTGGAAACAGCACTGGGGTTGTTCATTCCTTCAGTCTTTGACACCTGTAACTCTCAAGGAGTTAACTCGCCACCTGCATTGCTAATCCACAGCCATTTGGAGTTGTTTTCTGTGGCAGTGGCTCTGACAGCCCTGTGTGCCCCTTGGCATTGCCCATTCCTCATGTCAGGGCACTAATCCCTCCCAGAACAGCATTTCCCAGGTGGTGCCTGTGAGGCAGCCACAGCTGGAAGAGGTTTCTCTCAGCTTTCCCACGTGGTGTTTCTTGCAGGCATGAAGGTCCTGTGTGGCAGGTGGCCTGGGCTCATCCTATGTACGGGAATATCTTGGCTTCCTGCTCCTATGACAGGAAGGTTATTGTCTGGAAGGAAGAAAATGGCACTTGGGAAAAGACCTACGAGTACACAGGACATGACTCCTCAGGTATGGGAGTGTGGAGCTGGGAAGGGAGAGTGGGAGGTGAGGGGATTTGGGTAAGGCTGGAAGAAATCTGTTAGTGCTAAGGAAGAAAAGCCTCTGTCAAACAGACAGGGATGAATCATGGAGACACAGTAAATCTGTTCAGCACAAACAGGACATTTACCTTAAGGTCTCTTACTGGATAACCTCCTGTCTTAAATTGTGTGGTGTTTGCATAGGAGTTGTTAAACAAATAATCAGCTTTCAAACAAAGATGGCAGGGACTGAATTCTGGAGGGAAGTACTTGGGGCATACAGTACAGGAAGAAAGGAAAGTCGGATTTATCACACTGTGTTTGGTTTCATAATGGAAACTGTTGGGTTCAGATGATTTGCCCTCCCAGTGCAGAGCTGAAGTCTCCAGCTTGGCTGTGTTACTAACCTAGACTTTCAGTCCTCTGCCAGCTCTTGTTCTAATCAGCGATGCTCCCTGCTGTTGCCAGAGTTTTTAACCTCATTAGGAGTGCCCTTTTGGTGTTCTCATTCTGAGGGGTGTCAAAAATAAAGGCAGTTCTCTGTCATTCAGTAAGCACTGTTCATTGGCTGGCTTTGCTGAAATGTGGGAATGCCAGGATCGTTCTCAGCTCTCAGAGCCACTTCTGGTGTCTCACTGATCTCGGTGAATGGGTTGGTCAGTGCGAGGTGGTCCCTGTGCTCTAATCCAGTTTGTCTCTCCCCTGCCAGTGAACTCTGTCTGCTGGGCCCCACACGACTATGGCCTGATCCTGGCCTGCGGGAGCTCCGACGGGGCCATCTCCCTGCTGAGCTACACGGGCGATGGGCAGTGGGAGGTCAAAAAGATCAGCAATGCACACACGGTGAGTCTGGTCCTGGAGCAGCACGTAACACTCAGGGGATTCCTCAGAGAACTGAGAGCTGAGAATAACTCGTTTGAGTTCACTTGGAGCAGGCAGGTATACTCGAGAGCCACTAAAATGAAGTGGGAAACAGGACAGATGAAAGTCACTGAACAGCACTGACAGTGCCTGTTCAGTGACCATTATTGTTAAACATGGTGCTGGAAGGTACCTGGTAGGAAATGCCTTGGTCCTGAGGATACCTGCACCAGCTAACTGAATCGACAGGAGCTGGGAGCACTGCAGTGCTGCTGTTCTGCCCAGAGCAGTGTGCATTCTAGCTTAAGCAGAACTTCATCAGCTAATGGCAGTGGCTCTCAACAGGAGGAAATTTGGCTCCAGACCAGAATTCCTTCTCTCCTGTATTCCTAAATCTTAGCAACTGCATGTGCCTCGTGTCTTTGCAGTTTCTCTCTCTCTCTGCACTGTTTGCACACACACAGGATGATATTTACACATAAAGCAGTTCCTTAGCTACCTCAGGCTTTCTGAATGAGTGTCCTAGTGAGACTAGGCTGTGTCTGGATCTCTTCTTCATCTCATATCCATCCATCATGGTGCAAGACTCCCATTTTCCTGAGATGGGCTAATTCCTCACCCTCAACAGAGAATGTACTGTGTCCCCCTCAGCAGCCTTTGTTTGTTTGTTTGTGTATTTGTTTAAGCAGCTGTTAATAGTGATGTTTTTCATTAACCAGATTGGATGCAATGCAGTGAGCTGGGCTCCTGCTGTGGTGCCAGGGAGCCTTATAGAACAACCCTCTGGGCAAAAACCAAACTACATCAAAAGATTTGCATCTGGTGGCTGTGACAACCTGGTCAAGATTTGGAAGTAAGTGCTCTGTTGCCAGACAGAACCTGACACTCTTCCTAGGCTTTGAATGTCCCTGTTAGTATCTCAGGTAATATTTTCAGCATGTCTATGCTTTTATCTGTGAATTACTGTTGTAGAGAAGTGCTTTAAAAATGGGAACAACTCAGTGATGTACAATATTTCCCATGGTTCTCAGTTGGTGCCAGTCCTGTGTCATCTGGCCTTGGAGAGTGGCTTTCTAATGGTCTTTGGTTACCACTGTCACTTGGGCAGTAGCAAATTCCTGACACTAACCGAAGATCAGAACCTCTTTGCCTGTGCTGCTTCCGGTCCCCTGGAAGGGATTTTGTCAGCTCAAGCCATAGGTTGTTTGGAGAAGTAGGGATCACCTGTGCTGGATGAACCAGGGTCCTCACCACTGAGGAGAAGTGCTGCCTCCACCCTTCTGAGTGTCTCACTGTGTTCCAGGGAGGAAGATGGTCAGTGGAAAGAGGAGCAGAAGCTGGAGGCTCACAGTGACTGGGTGCGAGACGTGGCCTGGGCCCCATCCATAGGTTTGCCAACCAGCACCATCGCCAGCTGCTCCCAGGTGAGGTTTCTTTGGAGCCACAGAGGCAGGTTCCCAGTGCCCTCTCTTCAATGTGCTCCCTTCCTTGTTCCTCTAGTAAAGGAAGAGTAAGGATAGAGCTTCTCTAACAGGTCCTCTTGGCAGTCCTTTGCTGTATCTGGGTCTGTGTGTAAGAGCCTTTGAATCCTGTCCCTTCCAAGTAGAAGCATTGCTGGACAAAGGCTGTGTGTGAGTGACTCTGTACCAAAGACTGGCTTTAGTTTGAGAACCATGAGCAGGATGGTCTCAGTAGGAGGAAGACCTTCAAACTGATGTCATATTTTAGTGTCTTGGAATTAAATTCACTGAACTTTCAGGTAAAAATACTGATTTCTAGTAACTGGCATTCTCAGTCAGCTCTGATGTCCTCAGCCTTCATATTGACTGTGGTGTTCTTGCTGCTAATAATTCGGTAGATCCTTTTTGTTGTTACCAAGAAGTGATGTCAGTGAGCTGCTGCCACGTGACTGGAAACAAAGTCTCATTCTGGGGAAGGATTTCAGCTGATACATAAGTATTTTAGGAGATCTTCTCTGGTATTTGCAAGCTATTGGTTGAAGGTAGTTCTTCTCATCAGAGCTGTACTCCTGCCTTGCCTGTAGCTACAGCAAGGGCACAGCCCCTCTGCTGTGCTGAGCACAGATCCGTGCACATGCACCTAGGGGTGGGATCAGCTGAGGTGTGGAAGTGCAGCTCAGGGTGGTATTTCCTGTGTGGGGGCCAGTGATCCCTCCAGCTCAGCCTGTGCTTTTGCAGGATGGCAGAGTGTTCATCTGGACATGTGACGATGCCTCTGGGAACTCCTGGTCACCAAAGCTGCTGCACAAGTTCAACGATGTCGTCTGGCACGTGAGCTGGTCCATCACTGCTAACATCCTGGCAGTGTCTGGAGGGGACAACAAAGTGAGTACTGCTGCCTGGCTGTGCTAGCCCTGCCTGCCCTGTTTCCAGAGGGGCTGAGATGAGATAGGTTGTTGTCCCTTGTTTAAAACGAGACTGTCCTAGAGTCTCCTTTGCCACAGTACTGACATTTTCTCTTGTGACTGATCAAGAGGGGCAGGAAGACCCTGACCTTTGGCAAACTGCTTGCCTGTGTTCTGAGTCCTTGCTGGAGGGCAGAACTGCAGGGTGAACTGGATTTTTGTGGGGTGCTGATAGCAGAGTGCAGACTCTCCCTTTAGCCCTGGCTGGTTACTCAGTGCACAGCAGCACAGAGCTCAGTCCTGGGTGCAGTGCTGCAGCTCTGGGATGGCTCTGGGGAAGGGGCAGTGGGGGAGGGTGCTGAGGCTGAAGTTGTCCCTGCTGTGTGTTTGAGGTGACGCTGTGGAAGGAGACTCTGTGTTTGAGGTGACGCTGTGGAAGGAGTCTGTGGATGGACTGTGGGCCTGCATCAGCGACGTGAACAAGGGCCAGGGCGGAGTGTCTGCCGTGACAGAGGGGCAGCAGAATGAGCAGTGACCCCTGAGGAGAGCTCCAGCTGCAGCTTGTCATCTCTCTTCCTGATCTGCAGTGTCTCTTGAGCCAAATGAGAACTGATTTTTATCTAAACTGGACACGAACATGGGAAACAATTAATCCGATTTGATGAGCACTCTAAAACCATTACTGGGAGGCTACAATGTTGATAATCAGCCTTAATTGACATTCCCTGAAATTTAAGGTAAACAGCATAGCAAAGAACTGTGCCTGATACTACTCCTTGATGCTGCAGGTTATACCCTGGTTTGCTGGTGTGGGGATCACATTGGAGTGGATATGTGGTGGTCAGACTTCAAGCACCTGGGCAGGAACAGAAGGAGGTGTGAGGTGTGAACTCCTTTGTGCAAGGGGACAAACACTCTGTGCCCTCAAAGGCCAGAACTGTGTTTCAGGTGAGGGGAAGGGCTGGAGTTCTCAGAGTAGCTGGTAGTGTGCCAGCTGGTAGGAGTGAAATGGTGCTAAGATCTTACTGAAAATAACATGCTTGGCTAGGTGAAAGTCTCTGTGCTTTCCTGAAGATGAAAAGGAGTAGTGGAATGCATATGTCTTCTGCTTTACAATAATCTCAGACTTGGTTATTCAACCATCATCAACAAATCAGACCATGGTTTGAAGATTTTTTTTAGCCACGCTTCTGTACTGTACCTCAGGTTGGTTTTTGTTGAGATACCAACAGAATAAAGTCCTATTGGTTAAAGCCTGGTATGCTGTATTTAATCATATTTTCACAGGGGCCTGTCAAGCCACAGTCATGTTGTTCTCCCACCCATGGAATTAGCTCTGCAAGAGCTGGGAAGGTGTTGCCCACTAGGGCCTGTATATAGTGTGTGAGAGAACAACCTTTTGCCTTCAGGTAAACTGATGTGCCACTGCACTTCAGGCAAGTGTGTTAGTCTTGATAAAAGCTGAGGCACCTTCTCCTCCTGTAAGGGGCAAAATACTAAACCGAAAGGTCACATTTTCCCTTTGCTCTTGGGTGAACAATTCACAGCCTTCCTCCTTCTCCAAGGCGGTGGATGGTTTGTTTCGGCATAGCCAAGATAATATACCCCTTTTCTAGAAAAACAAACCTCATTCTATGCTGGTTATCTACAGTGATCAAATAACAGCTTAGTTGCTCTCAGAGACACAGGAATTACTTCTCTTTCTGTGTGCCAACAGAAGTATGCAGCACTCCTGCTCTTGTTCAAATCCTCTGCAGCCTTACAAAAAGTAATCACTCAAACAGTTCCATTTCAATTACACAGCACTATTTTCTCTCAAGCTGTTTTCCATTCCCACCGAGGTCACAGCCATAACTGCTAAGCTGAGCAGGCAGCCCCTCATTCCCTGTACCCTGCCCACTTCCCTGAGAGTCTCTGCTCTTCTCAGAGGGTTTGGGGCTGGCTCTAACTGCCTGGGAGCTGTGCAAGCCTGAAATCGAGCACGAGCTCCAATAAACGGCTCAAAAATGAAATCTCAGTTACCTTTTAGCACACTTCATTCTAAGGAAAAAGGGCACCTGAAGTTCCCAAGGGAAGGTTTTTGCCTGTGGGTATTAGGTTCCCCAACTCACCATGTTTAAAATTACGAGTTTTAATGCTTGAGAATTCAAAACTGCTTTGCAGCAAGGCCCAGTTCAGCCTGTTGCTCCTTCATACTTCAGATGAAATGTATTAAAATAGTTAAAAGTAATGACCCAAGCGTCACAAACAATTATCATGAATTAAAGGTTCTCTTAGAGTCACAGAATTTTATCCACTGAGAATGTAAGCATGAGGTGAAAGGTTTTCAGCTGCTCTTGAGAAAAAGGTTCATGGTGTTGGATCTCTCATCCTCTTCTACTGGGGTCAGGATTGGGGAAAAGAAGGAGAGGAAAAGAACTCAATGCAAATTTCACACCAATAAACTTTAAATTGCAACACAGTGTGATTAAGCCCAACATGTGCCCACATTGCACCACAGTTCTCTATCTCTGTGCCCTCAGTGCACCACAGCTCTCCATTTCCCTCTGGCCTGAGAAGAAGAAGATGAAACTGTAACCCCAAATAAAGTTTTCCAACGCCACAGATGTGCTAAAGATACAGAGTTAAGATGGCTGCAAATGGCTCCATGTTACATTTTCTCCAACAGCAAATCTGATGTAACAGAATTGCTCCTCCTCTTCCCATCTCTGCATGTTTCCCAGCCCTCCTCAATCCTGCTGGATGCTTGTGGGGCTGCAATGGATCCTCCAAATGAGCCATGTCACTCAGGTTTGAGTAGAGTACAAAGAACAGGAGTTACAAATTTGTCATCCTGCACCATATATTTCTTCTTTTCTCCTGCTCTTTCTCAGGTGAAAAAAATATTCCCAGTTTCCCTTCATGGGATTTTTCTAGACCCTCAGCCATTGCTACTAGTCTTCACTGAAGGTTCCTGTGGCACCACATGTTTAATCAATAGCTGTAAGATGTACAAAAGGAACAAAGCTAATGTCACAGGACAAAAGGAAACTCTCACTTCATTCCCTGCACCAT